GTGGGGCCCAGGGCACTGTGGGTGCTCATGTGCCTGGAAGGGTGACTGTGGGAGCCTCCCAGCCCCACCCACGGGTCCCCAGAAGTGGCCTCCCTATGATGCGCCCCAGGGAGTTCCAGGTATGCTAAGGAGCCATTTGCACGGCGGCCGTTCATGAACCCTGAGCAGAGGATTAATTACTGTCTGTCGAAAGGAGACTTCTCCTGTCCTTTCAGATGCATCTCCTTTTTATTCTTAGTTAATTTTTAAAATTACGACGTCAGTGCAAAGTCTGATTTATTTCACTTTTAGCATTATTCCTCTGATACGCGATTTCACTGTATGCCAGGCGCCCTCCTCAGCGCCAATTTGTCACATCGACTCCCATTTGAGGGACCGGTCAGATGAGCTGCTCGCCTTCCTGGGCCTCAGCCTCCCCGCTGGGGATGGGAATCCCAGTGACCCCCTCTGGATGCCCCCCTTCCCCCCACCCCAGGCCTCACTGTCTGCGGTCCCATGAGCTTATCCCTCCCTATGGCCTCAGTTTCACACGTCGGGGTCCCTGGGCCGGGCCTCCTGCCCACCTGCAGGTTCACCTGACAGCAGCCCCGTGGAAGGCCTGTGCCACCCCGGAACAGTGACTCACCAGTCCTGTTACCCCAGGCAACCAATGGTCACGCTGAGCAGCTGAGCTGGAATCGGCTCACGTCGGTCCCCTGCGACGCGGTAGCTTCTTAAGGTCCATATGTCGGTGCAGGGCCTGGCACAGGGAGCAGCATCCCTCCAGGGGTGGTCATCGAGGACCAGGCACCATCTTAGACGAGCAGAACACATGGGGGCCCTGCCTGCATGAATTTACAGTCTAGGAAGGAAAAACAGACAAAATGGACAGTAAGGAGGACACATATGAAAAGTATCCAACATCCAGCCCGCTGAGTGGAATCAGAGCCCAGGGGGCAGGCTGTCCCTTTAAATGTGATCAGTGTAGGCCTCACCGAGAAGCGGCTTCTGAACAAAGTCTCCGAGGAAGGGCTGGGGGAGCCCAGGGAGGCCTGGAGGAAGGCATTCAGGCAGAGCAAGCACCCAGGCTCTGAGGGGAGCACTCTGGGCCACTCAGGCTTGTTCAACGGGGCAAGGTGGCCGGGCTGGCGGGACAGGGGCACGGGCAGGTGACCCCATGGGAGGCTGGGTTAGGAGGCCTGAGAAGTGCCTGTGGAACTCATTGAATCATGATTTGAGCAGGTCCTGAGAGTCTAGGTGGCAAGAACTACATAAATCATTGGAAAGGGGGAACCAAAATGACGTGTTACAGGCCTGTGGTGACAGGGGATAACTGGGTGAGGGAACCCAGGGACCAGGCCCACATGGGCTGGCCACGCGGGGAGCATGGGTACAGCCCCGAGGCTGTGTGTGCTTCCTGGGGCTGCAGTAACAACATCCCATAAACTGGGGGCTTTAAACCACGGAAGTGGATTCTCTCACCTTTCTGGAGGCTAGACGTCCAAATTCAAGGTGCCGTGAGGCCGAGATGTGCCTGGGACTCTGGGTTGAGTCCCTCCTCACCTCTCCTAGCTCCTAGTGGTGGCCAGCAACCTCCGCCCTCCTCAGCCTGCAGCTGCCTTGCTCTGGCCCCGCTGTCTGTGGTCACGTGGCCATCTCTCCCAGTCCACCTGCAGTTCTCCCCAGGCCTCTCTCTTTCTATATCAGTGGTTCTCAACCTTGGCTGCACATTAGAATCACCTGGGAATCTTTTTTTTAAATGCTGATCTCTGGGCCTCATCCTCCGGAACTTCTGTTTCTTTGTTACTAATGTTGTGGCCCCACCCCATAACAAAGAAACAGAATTTCCGGAGGATGAGGCCCAAAAATAAGGATTTTAAAAAGATTCCCAGGTGATTCTAATGTGCAGCCAAGGTTGAGAACCACTGTTCTATATGGATGCCAATTACAGCGGGTTAAGGGCCCACCCTATCCTGGATGACCTCATCTTAACTAGTTACACCTGCAATGACTCTATTTTTGAGATGCGAGGTATGATGGCTGCAATGTATCTTTTTTTGCAGATGGGAACACAGTTCAATCCACACGAGAGGCCTGACCTCCCGGAGACCGGACCACCCGCTGTGGGACCCTGGGTGTGCCCCAGGCCTGGCCTCCATAAAGCCAGGGGGTTGGCGGGTCATTCCCGGGCGGCCCTGGCGTGTCTCCAAGTCCTTCGAAGCCTCTCCAATCTCCAGCACAGGAGCATGGAGACAGGAGCTCAGCTGATTCCAAACTGTGTCTTCACCATGAAACAAATATTTTGAAAAGCCTTTTGATGTCACTTGAACAGAGTGAGGAAAACACTGTTCAACCCCCTGCATTTTTTAAATTTCATCCCCTTTGCTATTTTTTCCTCTCCTTGAAAGCTTGTGTTTGCTTTCATGTTACACGTTATTTATTTAGTTGCTTGTCAATTAGTGTCTATTCTCCAAGAAACAAGCACATTAGCAGCTGCAGAGATTGGAATTAAAATCTGCAGCCCAGTGGGTGTTACCGAAGGCTTGCCTCCCCGGCTGAGAAAACAGCACCTCCTTGTCATTTCAAAGGCTGACCTTCCTCTCCCTTCCTCCTGATCCTGGCTCCTGACTTCATTCTCGGGGACTCCCCCAGGGTCACGCTGCACGGGGCAAGATGTAAGATGAGGCTTTTCCAAATGCATAGAGGAGACGCAGGTCCTGCTAACAGCAGCCTTTGATGACTGTTCGTGTAAAACAGGAGGGCTGGTTTGAATAGCACGCTTGAAATTGCCAGTCCGGGGGTCTGGGGGCTCTGACGCAGCCAGTCCAACCCGCCACAGCTCCATCCTGCGGCTCAGAGATATTTAACGAGGTGACACCAATTGGTGGAAACAAAGGATCCGGCTCCAGTCCCGGTGCCTCAATCTACTGGGAATGCGACCCTGAGCAAGTGAGTTAACCTCACCGATGCATTTCCTGGTCTGCAAAGTGGGAGAATTAAAACCCCTGCATAGGCAAGTTGTGAAGCTGAGATTGTGGGTGTAGAACTTGGCAAGGTGAGCTTCAGCGTCTGACTCTTAACATAAACACAGTCCCTGCCTGTGGGCTCGCTGCTGGGATCCTGGGGCCTGAGCGTGGCCCTCCCAGGGGTCCCCCTTCAGTGAGAAGCAAGGACAAGAGCCTGCTGGAGTCCTGGCTCCCACCGACCCGCTGTGTGGCCTCGGGCAGTTCTCCTTCCTCTCTGACAGTTTCTTTGAGCACAAAATACAAGGAGTGAAGCTTAATTCACAGGAAGTTGCTGGGAGATTTAGCAGTGAGAGAATCTACTCAAAACATGGTGAAACGGAGGCTCGGGCAACAAGGGTAATGAAGATAATGACATTCTGAGGCCAAGACAGATTTTGTTACCTAACACAAGCAGGCAGGACACCGGGGGGCTCCCTCTTTTCTCAGCATTCACCCTGGGCGGTCACCTCCTGGCAGGGTGGGAAACCACAGGGTTGGACTGGGGGCAGGAGGCAGCCATTCCTCACCTGGATGTGCCCGGCCTCCTGGCACGGGAACCAGAGTGATGCTGCACAAGCCCAGGTCAGAGCACACCTGCTCCAGACCCTCGGGGCTCCGCCGGCTCACAAAGTCACACCAACCCTTCCAGGGCCCACCAGGCCCGCACAGGCCCTGTGGTCATCCATGCTCATCTCCCAACGCTCACCCCCAAGCACCCCGACCTGCTCTCTGCTCCTTGGGCACCTGGGCTCCCTCCTGCCTCCCGGTACTTACTGATCCAGCAGCTGTCCCCTCAGCCTGGGACACTCCTGCCACCTTCCCCTGCACTGCTCTCCTGTCCTGTTGGCTGTACCATGTTCACCCGCCAACAGAGGGGGTTGTTGCTCCTCTACTATGTCTTCTCAGGGCTGAAATGTAAGCAGAGTCTGTTTTGTTCACTGCTGTGTCCCCAGGGCCCAGAACAGTGCCCAGCACGTGTTGGCTCTCAGCATGTGTGGGTGCAGGCGATGAGGCTGAGTGGCAGGCCTGCGAGGTGGCAGGCCTGCGAGGTGCAGACCGGAGGAAGCTGTTCTTAGCTCCGCTGTGCAGCAGGTCCCCAGGGGGCTCCTAAGCCTGGCACAGACCCCCGCCCCCGCCTGCAGAGAGGGCCTCCCACCTCGATGAACAACACTCCCGGAGACCACGGCAGCCAGGGTGGGGAAGGGAAAATTCCACGTGACCGAGGGCACAACTTGGGGTCTGATCTTGGGCAAGCACTTTCTCATCTGGATGATGAAGAACTTGGGCCACTGGTTTTCAATGGGGGCGGGTTGTCCCTTAGAGCCCCAGTGTCTGGGTCCGCTCGGCGTGGGGATGGAGGGGCCGCCTGTCAGCTCCGCGCAGAGCTGGCCCTCTGGTCTGTGTATGTGGTTGCATGTGAGATTCTTTGTGAGGAAAGGGTTCCAATTCCCAAAAGTGTTTGGGGACCACAGGCAAACGGTGGCTGGGACTGGGAAGAGACCAGTGGTGCCAGTTCTGGACCTTGGGCAGATGCATCATCCCTCAAGGCTTCCCTTTCCCCATCTGTGATATGTGGGGTTGGACCGAATGACCCCAAAATGCTCCCCAACCCTGAAGCTCGGTACTCTGGTCTCACGCCGGTAGACACATGAAGGGGAAGCGTGGGAACTGGATGAAGACAGGGAGACGGTGTCTGCAGACGGACAATTATCATCACACAATATAACACTCTAATGGCAGAATCTTTTATATGAGAATAGACATTATGGAGCACAGTTCCATCAAATGAATATAATAGACTTGTTTTATATTACAATGCACACTATAATTACACATTTCAATAATTCTTTCAATGCATTACACAGAGGCGTTCTGAAGAAATGGAGTCCTGTGACCATCTATAACAACTCGCCTAAGGGAGGATGCCGCGGGTGCCAGAGGCCTCCCAGCCTGCAGGGAGAGCCATGGCCTCCTCCTGCCCACGGTCACATGGCTTCTGACCCTGGCCTCTGAGGGTCACGACGGTACTTTGTTCAAGTACCTGCCCATCTCCACCTGCACTTTGCAGCCACACCTCCGGGACGGGGAGCTCACTACCTCCCTGGCTATTTGATGGGCCTTGTCATTAAGAAATTACTCCAGGCAGGTCTCCTACCTGGAGCTAGTGCGCAGACCGCGTCGGAGCCGAGCCCAGCTGCTCAGGATGATCAGCGACGTGCAGTTCGCCATCTCCGCCAACATGCTGGGCGCGTCACTCTTCCCGCTTGTCGTTCTCAATCACCATGTGGCTGTCAACAATCCCAGGAAGTAGGAATGAAAGTGGCGGTTTCTTCGCCCCAGGGTCCCAGGACATAGTGTGAGGGGCCTCCCACTTCACTGCATCCCTTCTACCCTCACAGCATACAGAGCAATTGCACCTGGATTTTCCCAAACAACTTTTATTTCTTCAGTCTTCCTTAACCTATGGAACAAGAAGCTGCCACAGAGGGGGGCCCAGTACAGGGGCTGCTTTCTTCTCTACTCCACCCCCCCACCCCCACCCCCCGATATAAGAATATAGATTTTTTTTTAAAGAAATTACTGGGCATTACCCCAAGGCCATGGCATCCATCTCTAAATTCATATGCTCAGCTCTACAGTGACTATGTTAGGCATTGCTGTGTATTTCTATTGCTGCTATAACAAGCCCCAAACTTGGTGGATTAAAGCAGCACAATGTATCCTCTTACGGCTCTAGAGGTCGGAGGTCTGACATGGGTCTCCCAGAACTCAGTGTTGGCAGGACTGAGCTCTTTCTGGAGTTTCCAGGGGAGAATCTGCCTGCTCACCCTTTCCATCTCCCCGGGTCCCCTGCATCCCGTGACTCGTGGCCCCTTCCTCCAGCGTCAAAGCCAGCCCCTCTGCCCCTCTTCCTGCTGCCACGTCTGCCTCTGTCAGCAGCTGGAAAAGATCCTCCTCCTTTAAGGACTCGTGTGATTAGAGTGAGCCCGCCCGCAGCATCTCAACCCAGTCCGTAACATGAAGGACACTTGTAAACTTCCCTTTGCCATGTTAGGTAAACATTCACGATTCCAGAGACTAGAGAACGGACATATCTTGGGGACACTGCTCCACCTGCCACGGGCATTATTTTATTGCAACACCAAGCAGACTGAATTTATTCCTCCTCACCTATTGAAAGGGCAGAACAGCAGGATTAAATGTGACATAGGTATAGTGCCTGCCATATATATGTTTCATAAATGGAAAACCAATTTGATGACCAGGGTGACAGTATCAGTGAAATAATCCACTTTGCCAATATCCATCCTGTTGCCTGGTACAGGATAGGATCACAGACTCTCAGTGCAGGATGGTGAGTCACAGACAGAGCACGACTCCTCACCGCTCATTTGGGCTCTATACCTCTATGGATGCAGCTGAGGTAGTATTAGCATTTGAGGTCCCTTCTTCTTTGGTCTCAGCAAACTTGCCTGCTTGTAGTCAATTAAAACCCTAAGTCTGTCTCTAGTTACAAGGGGGCAAAGAGACTGTGACCATTTTATAGTGGGAGAAAGTGAGGCTGAAAGGATGGAGGCCCTGGGGTGCTTCCGGAGATGAGATCAAGGATGAGTGGAGTGAGTCAAGTTGGGGGTGTGGGAGACGAGTATTTCAGAGCAGGGGACACGTGTGCTAACCTGGAGTTGCAGAATAGGAGGTGGATTTCGGGAACTATACGGAGTGTGGCAAGACTCATGGGTAGGGGTGGGGTATCACAGTGATGAGCCCAGAGAGATGGGAGAAAAGCCAGGTCAGGCAGGGAGGACCACACGCTGTTCTGTTTGGAGGAAGGAGCATTAATACAAACAAAGGATCTTTTTAACCCCGAAAACCTGTAATTAAGCTCCCATGTTAATGCCTGACATGGTTACGTATTTGTGTGGGAAGGTGGTTGGTAACCACTGAAACTTTAACTTCGTCATCAAGCAGGTAAGCGGCTCACCATGCCCAGTGCTGCCCTCTGGGGCCAGGCGGGGGCATGGTTTCCCCAAGGAAGAGGATGGGGTCAAATCCACAGAGCTGAAAGGGTCCTGGGAGACAGAGACCTGCGAGGAGTCAGCGGGAGGCAGTTCCAGCTGTTTGTCTCTTATGGACGATGGAGAGGCTGATGCCTCGAGAGTGGCAGAGACTGGCCAAGCCAGGGACAGGCCCGGGCTTTGGATCTGGTGGCGGAGAGCTTGGGCAGGCTGCCGGTAGAAGCGGCACTGGGGTGCAGACTGCGTCCCAGCCCTGAGCTCGCTCGGCACTCACCATCTCCAACTGTGCTCGCCGATGCACTGGGATGGGCCTGGGCTCTGCAGCTGCCAACAGCTTCTGCTTGAATCAGGCTCCACGCCCCACTGGCCCGATCTTGGGCAGTTTACTCTGCACCCCAGTCTCCCATCTGAAAAGAGCATCTCCCCCACAGGGCTGTCAGGTGATTGCACGTGATGGTACAGGCTGCTGGCTCAGAAACAAGTCTTCCCTATTGGAGTTACTACCTGTGCTCCCCTTCTCCCCCCACCCCTCCCCAGTGTGATTTCTTCCAGGAGGAGGTGAGAGCAGCTCAAGGATGTTTGGTGAGTAAATGTATTTGCTTCTCTGAGGCTGACACCAGGGCTGGAGTGGTGAGCAAATCGCACCGGGTGTGTGGCCTCACAGACCTGCCCGCTAGTGATGGGAAGAGGCATAACCCAAGAAAGTCACACGGTGGCCACGTGCCGGTGAGGACATCACTGTACCACAGGGGCTCCTAATTCAGAAGACTTCTCCAAGGCAAAAACAGGAGCCAACTAACAAGAGAAGCAAGGGATGCCGGGGAAGTGGATGGGAAGATGCAAGGCAGAGAAGCATGTGCAAAGGCCCTGTGGCCAGGAGGAAAGCCCTGAGGCTGGAGAGGGCAGGCCACTGGAGGAAACGAAGGGATGGGCACAACTCAGCACACAACCTGTATGTCAGTCTAAGTGCAATGGGAAGCAGTCAGCATTTAAACCAAAGAGATTACATGATCAGCTTTGCATTTTAAAGAATCACTCTAGCTGTGGTTTGGGGATGCTGGAGTGGGTAGGGGTGGAAGTGGGGAGGCCAACTAGGAAGCCATTATAGCTAGTGGTTCAGGTGAGAGACGTGGGCCAGGGTGGGGGATGAAGATAAATGAAGCAATGGCCTTGGGAGACAAAGTGGATAGAACAGCCGCTACTGTGGCCGGGACAGAGAGGGTGAGGGAGAAAGAGGTGTCAGGGATGACTTCAGTGTAAGCTGCTGGCTGGAGGCAGAACCTTCACGGAGATAAATGAACAAGCAAACCTCAGGGATTTGGCCAATGTTTGGGGTCAGAGTTAGCCATCTTTTTCTTTCCACATCATAATCTTGCAGAGGAAATGAGACTGGCTTCTACTAGGAGCCCCGGCGAGATCCCACGTCTCTGGACTCGCCGAGGCCCACCCCACCTCACACCCGCAGAGGGAGTTGGGAAGGCCCCAGCTGTGGCAAGAGGCAAACACATCTGGCCCCAAAGGCAGAGTCCTGAGCTTCTCAGGAGACTGGATGAGTAATTCTGATAATTGAATTTTTGAGTTAGACTTCAAAAATGGCCAATATTGAAGAGGCAATTTGGCAGGATCAGGAGCCCCCAGGCAGATTTCTCTGCCTCCGCGATGCTGAGAACTTATTAACAAGATCACTCTTCCTCCTTTCACAGCCCCCTTTACAAGCGGTTCTCAGGGCTGCGGGGCCGAGGAATTCAATTGTGGGTCTCTGGGCCCCTGCTCTGGTCACCCAGAGACATTTTGTTGAAAAGGGTAGTGAGGAGACTTTGGTTTGTAATATAGGGGAGGGCTGCTGTTTGGGGAATAGAGAGCATTCGGGGAGACGGAATAACCCAGAGGACAGGACAACATAGAAAACAGGTCATGACAGACTCGGTTCAAATCCTGGCTGCAGCACTTACTCCGGCAGGGTGGGACTTTTTTACTGCCCAGGGCCATTTGGATATTTATAGCATCATTCACAGGCCATACAAATTATCAGCTTAAAAATTAGCCTGCTCTATTTGGTCAAACATTTAATTATCTCACCCTTAATGCCTTGGCAGGGCCAGACCAAATGATTTCTGGGCCTTTCTAGGGCCCACGGGCCGGACATTCCCCACCCCTGGCTTATAACAACAATATAACCAAAAATGTACTAGGTCCCAGGGATGCAAAGGTGAGTGAGACAGAACCTACTCTCACAGAAAGGTTACCTCTACATGATAATTATAACCC